TTTCCTTTTTTGCACGCGGAAAAGGGACGTTTGCGTAACGCATTGGCTAATCGTGTTCCGGCCTCGTTTCCGGGGTATTCAAAATTATGAAACAATAACCACTTCCGCATGTAACAAGGTAATTAGGAGACGCCTACACGCTGGTTACAACTTAACGTAAAGTACTGGTGAAGTAATGAGAGTAATATCTACTGCAACCGTTTACAACTCCCGTCGTTTGAGCAAATGAAAGTAGATAGTCGGAAAACATCGCGTTTGACAAAAACAACAACAACAACAACAGAATGGTCTAACGGCTGTTTAAAGTTTTTAGAGTAAACTGACCTGTCTCTCGACCGGTGATAGTAGCTTGTAGGTGGCACAATTTTTTATTTGGTCTGCAAACGTCGGTGAGGACAGCGAACAGTCTGCAAAGATGTTATAGTGCCTGCTTAGTTAGTCGGTATTTTACGAAGCACAAGAGGCATAAACAGAGCCGGTAGGGTGGGATTAATAGCATCAGTAGCTTTTATTACAGTAATAGACACCTGTAGATGCTAAGAGGAGAAATACTACTAGTTCTCAATGTTAAGTAGTGCTCGTGCGTGTACCAACGTCATTTTGGCGGGAAAACGTGATAGCCGTCGTCATTCCACCACGAGTTTTAGCGATAACAGTGCTAACGTTTCTGGTGAATCAAAAGCACAATGAAGCTTTCCGAAGTGTCTATTTTTTGAGAATATGCCAAAAACTGTTCAATCAAATCTCATACTCGTAGTCGTTCTCGTCCCCGAATCAAAAGGTCACTAATATAGTGTATGCGCGACCAAAGTAGCTCAGTGTGTGCCTGTTTGGTTAAAACGCATGGGTATAGAAGTGCCCACGTACTACGAAAAGGGGTGGTGTTTTTGCCGTTTTACCTTAACAAAGGATAAAACCTAAAGTGCAAAACTCAAAAATTGCCAAAACAAACTGCCGCCTGGTTAACCCAATTAGAGGAGCTTCCGTTTCCCGACCAGTATGGACCGGAAAACCAGGTTCTTGAATAAACTGGTTTGGATCATGCTGTCTGTAATAAACACCTAGTGTCAGTTGCAATAATCGCGTTATGAGGTAGTGACGTTTACGCAGTTGGCCAACCTCGTTCCCAGGATCTCTCTTCTTCCAGTCCTCACCTTGGGAACGAGGCTCTGCCCTTCCTTTCGAGTCCATGGGCGAAGTAAAATAACTCACATTATCCTTACTTAAGTAGGGGAAGTACACTACGGTCATTTGGCAACTGACTTTACTGAGGTTGTGCGGGGAAGCGGCTGCTAACGGCCCACAGTGATTACGGGCGCAAGTTAATGCCATGTTACTGCTAAGTCTGGCGAAGCGAAACTACTAGAATGAAGTAAAACTCGGTGCGGGCTTTAAGACGTGCGCCATACCTTTTTCTTCTTTATCCTCTGAAACAGGTCTGCAGAAAAATGAAAGTTAAGCGTTAATGAAAAATGGCTTTCACGTTGAAAACTTAAAAAAGAAAACAAAGTGCATCATCGGATACAAAATCAATACTAAATCCGATCTTTTCTAAACTTTAAAATGTAATATCTAGACTAATGCATAAAAATTAATATACGATGATTAGATAAAAGTTACAATGAGAAAACATCGAACTAAGATGTATCAGTGTCTATGGCATAGTTTAAGGTTGTGTTTTACGCTACTTGCATACTTTTTTGCTTGAAAAGAGAGTGCAAAAAAATCAACGACATTTGGTCCCTGATTATTTTCCTCCTCGCCCTATTAACCGTTCATTGTGCGACTGCGTGTGAGGCCCGGTCGGTGTTCACTGTTGTGTAGAGTTACGCTGTGAGACTGGGGCAGCAACTTTTCCCAGTTTTCCCGCGTAACCTTGTTATGGCCGGTAGACGGAGTGATAGCGTCCTTGAAAACGATAGCATAGTGTAATTAGAGACAGTCTTACAGACTCACGCACAACGTTAAAATGGGTGTCTTATACCCCGCTCGGAGCCAACCCAAGGGTTATAGTGCGTTACAAATCAAACCAATCTTTAGTATAGACGCCTCGTCAACTCGTATCAAAAATCGGCCCTTTTCCTGGCGATCATTTATGTAACTGAAACTAAACGGCTTTGTCAAAAAATTAAGCAAAAGATACTCACTCGTTCTTCTTTCCCATTGAAACATTTGTTCTCCTTGGCTGTGTACCACCCTGAAAAATGGAAACAAACAAAGCCCGGTTACACAGTAAATAGTCATCTCTGAAAAATGATCAGTAGCGACTATGAGAGAGTTAAAATACCTACCACCATTTTTCTTTTATTTTCCTTCCGTCTTTCTCGTCGTAGCCTCTGTTCATCATATTCTTGACACTCTAAAACGCAAAAAAAAGCACGTTTAGCAAGTTTGTCAACTGTACTGCAAGACAGCTCAGCGTTCATTCCGCCTGGATAACTTCACAGCTTCCTGTCTCATGGCCGCAACTTGTCTCCCTTCGTTAACGGTGATCCACAATTATAAGTAAGACGCTATGCTAGCCTAATTCTGGTTCGCTTTCAACAGGCTAACGGGATTTAGTAAAATCCAACCAGTGGTCTATTATCAATGCTACGTTCTCATTGGTTGAGCTACTACCAGGCTATATGTTACAGCCCACTAGTAGCGAAAAGCGCGGGCTTTTTGGCGGCAAAAAAGGATTAAAGTCTAGCTTTAACTAGCTAAAAGTTTTTTTATTCTCGATATTAATTTTTTGACCAACTAGTTGGATTTTACTAAAACCATTATTCCTCTCGCCCTCATGGCCTCTGAGTCAATAGCCCATTGACTCAGAGCCTATTCAGGCTCGAGAAATAATTTTTAAGTATACAGACCACAGCTGAGTAGAATTTACAGCGCCCACGTCGCAGCAAATATTGCATAAAACACAGCGACCAGTGTATAAAGTCGAATACTTTGCTCAATGCCACAGCTTAGTATTGAAAAAATATGATACCACTTTCAAATTCGCTAAGATGCGTTGTAGTAGTCTATAAATACCTGAAAGTTTTGTAATCCCATTTTTTCTGTATCTAATCAGGTCCTTTATTCTTGTTCTCAGCTCTTTTTCTCCTGCGAATAAATGAACGACATTTTCAATGCATCTCGCACAAGGTACAACAACTGACGAAAAATACTTTTTGTGCTCCCTGCTGGAGAGGGGACCACCAACGCCTTTATTTAAAGAGGGTAAACACGTCACAGTTATGAAAAAACTGATAAACTCGTGGCCCTCTAACGCTCACAAAGGTTTAGCCATTTGCAGGGCAAAGGCAGTAACTTCTTCCCAGCGCAACTATTTTAAGACCCTGGACCAAGTTTTTCAAAAGACAAATAGTGCAAATCTAGGGTTAGTTACCATGGCAACTTATACTTAACCCAGGATTACCGCTTACCTACGCTTCGAGCAACTTGGCCTGGAGTGTTGGTCTCGCCAAGAGAACGGAACCCGCGATCCCTTCCTCTGCAGACCAATACTCAGAACTGCGAGAACCCTCTTACGGTCCGACAGAACGGTATTTTAGGCTGGAATCTTTTCTTTCTTCAACAGTGGAGTCTTTTAGGTTCCAAGACGAGGACGACTACTCGGAAGAGATCAGTTTTAATACGAAGTAGTGCGCGGCGTGAGCCAGCGTCATTTTGGAGGGAAAACGCGAAGGCCGTAGTCATTCTACTACGGGCTTTAACGAGAATGTCGTAGAGGCGGAAACAAGTTACCTAATGTTTAGAAGTTTTATCATTTTGCGATTAGTAGAGGGCTCAACCACCTTCAATTAAAAAAAACCGTGCAAACTTTTCTAGTGAAGAAAAGATAAAGTGAAGGTTTCTGGGGTGTCTCAGTATTTTCTGCGAATATGCGAAAACAACTTTTAAACCCTAATCTCGTCCTCGTATAGTCGCCCTTGTCCTTTAATAAAGGTGTGTAAAATTTACGGAATACCTTAATTTGTTTCTTAACATTTGCCAGTCATTTCTCCCGTGACATAAAAATTCTCTCAATGAAAATGTCTCAAATGTCTCAATAAACCAGATACCGTAATATTCCGAAAACAGGCTCCGGGGCTTATATTTTTCCAAGGCCCTTTTTGAGGGGCTTATTTTTGGAGGGGCTTATATTCGGAGGGGCTTATCTACGGAGGGAAATTTACGTTTCAAAATCGATTCGGCTAGCCTTATAGTTGGAAGTAAATTTACCGTTTTTGCTTTGTTGTACTTTGTATTTGAGGCCAATTTTCCAAGTACAAGCCCCCGGGGGCTTATATTTGGAGGGGCGATTCAACGGAGGGTTTTTTGCATTACCGGTTTGGGGAGCTTATATTTGGAGGGGCTTATACAGGGAGGGGCTTATTTTCGGAATTTTTCGGTAACTTACTTAAATGGCCATTTAAGAATTCCTCCCAATCGCCATGACTTTTCAATCTTGCAAACACTCTAGCAGCATCCCGAAACTCTCTGTAAACAACATAACACGGTTAGCCTCTAAAAAAAAAAGGATGGTGTTGGATATTGTGACATGAGGGTCTCGAGGGACACTATACTGATTTTGCCGTTCATGCAAATGCTTAGGAAACTGAAATTGATTCACACTCCTTTTTCTGATTTTCTAAAACAAGTTAGCAACACCGACGGCAACGGCTATGAAAACGTCACTTAAAAAGTGAAGTCGCGCTGCTTCAAACTTTATCGCGCTTATTCCATGTCGTTCAGTTCGTCAAACGTTAGCAAATTTTTCTGGAGTGTATCGAAGTCCTGGAAAAGAAAAAGAAAGTCGTTGTCTTGTGTTTTCGCCCTCCACAAAACGTGAAATTGGGCACTTCGACGTCGTAGTCCTTGTCGTGACGGCAAAGAAGTGTGAAGAAAGTGTGATGTACATGCAAAGTTGTTGTTAAACCTATTGCTTTTTGAGGCTGCACCGAAGGTTTCCAAATATGGTACTTAGAAAAATGAATATTAACGAGCATTGAGGGCGAGTTACACGTTCCAGCTCCTTATGAGTTGCTGTACAAACTAAATTCAAGTCTAACTTGTGAAATAGTAACTAACCTGTCTTCCTTGCTGTATTTTCTGCGAAGTGCTGCATAGGAACAAGTTAATAACAATTTTATACTTAGAAACAAATAAAAATCAGTAAATATTTTATTTCTTAAATTTCCAAAAGCAATAATAATGACACAAGAATAGAAACTGACCTATTATCCGATGTTTACTGGCAATAAGTCCATGCTGTCTTGCAATGCTATAAAAAGAACACAAAGTATACCTCAGTTATCCCACAATATTCTTTGTAGTTACCGAAATAGAGAGTACCGATTGTTCAGCAACTTCTGGAGATTCAATGAGATTGCAGTAGGCGGCTGTGTAAGGTATAAAAGGTGACTGTGATCTTCAAATTGGGGCTGTACTCCTTTAAGGCGGTCTTGGGGTGTAAAACCACCCCCACCCTGCCCCTCCCACCCAGAAGACAGTTAAATCAAGAGGTTCAAAAAATGCAATCCTCGTTATTCCTAGCCTAAGAAAACAGCCAACATTTCAAGATGCCACCACTGGTTTCCCCGCGAAATGACATCTGAGAAATGAGTGCAGAAATTCCACACCGATGACTCGCCACTACCAAGATCTGGGTAGTGCTTCCGATTGGCTTAAGCAAATTTCCCTAACGGCACAACCAATCAGAGGCACCAGCCAGATCTGGGTAATGATACATCATCAGTATTGAATTTCTGCGCCCGTTTCTCAGACGTCATTTGGCCAGGAAACCAGCGCCGGCATCACAAAATGTTGGCTGTCTTGTTAGGCTAAGCATTCCAAGCATGAAATTGAGTAAAATGCTAAAAATTCCATCACATAGAAACTTACTTTTTCCTATGCTGTCTTTCTTTAAGTCTTCGCAAGTACATGTCTATAATTCCTAGTTTCAAGTCTATAAAACAAAATAGTGATGGGATGTTAAGTACAGTAAATGTAAGCTTAGTTAAAAAGATAAATCCTGAAACTTCATTAATATGAGAACAAAATCTATAACTCCTAACCTGTTTCCACATCCTCATCATCATAACTAAACTGCAACCCACTGACAAGAGTTTCAGCATCATTGTCGTATTCCTACAAAAAACACATCCTGGATTATTTCACGATTAGGATATCTACCACCTTTCGAAATACATAAATAAATTAACAATATTAAAAATAACACATCTATTTTTTTTACTTTAGAAATGTAGACATATGGGTCAGCCCCAAATGTCCACATCAACAAGGCAAAGTAGCAGTAGTACAGTACAGTGCAACATTTATGTGCGACCGTCACTCATAAGTGAATAGAGAAGCTAACATTCCAAGCACTAGCCCCTCATCATGTCAACTTTTTCTTCAAGTTATTTCATATGTAGGTGGAGCATGATTTCTGGGTGGGTGTAATCCTGAATAGGACTTTTGTTGACGGTGACTTCCATTTTGAAAACAAACCTGTGCAGTATTTATCTTCAGAGTCATAGTAAGTTTTATGATAATTTAACCAAATCTTTATATTTCACTTCCTCACCAATGCAACTCACACAGTTTCTTTAGAAACATAAACCCAATTCATAGCTTTCTAGTCCCATAAGTGACCAGATTTAATAGTCAAAGAACCTCTCATAAGAGACCACTTACTAAGTAATTGCTAAATTTTGGGAACTTAGTTGGTCACAGGAGGTTAAAGTTAATTCATTGGAACTAAATAATTACTAAAATTTAATATTTCGCTATTTATGTTAAGGTCAGTGAGTAATGACTAAGTCACCATATGTAATTAAGTTGATTTGTATTTGATTACCTTTTCAAAGTCATCCCTTAATGGCATATATCCTAGCTCTTGCTGCTCTGTAACACTCATCTCAACAGGTTCAGGAGGGTGCAACAACGTTGGTGATAGTACTTCTACAGAACACAATCATGACTTAACTTTATTTACCTTTTCAGGGAACCTTTATTTACCAGAGCCGTATGCTGCTTATCGGTAATTATTTCAAACAGCTGACCAATTCCAAAAAGTTGAATACCCAGTTGTTGTACATTTATAATAAATAGAAAATGTTTATCACTCATTAATTTTTTTTTTACGAGCTGAACCCTCCAGAATTTTAAGTTTTTAAATTTCATTGCAATAATCCTAGCCAGTCGCACACCAATTTCCCAAAACAAACTTTACAGTCAAGCCAGGTCGAGCATACCCTACAAGATTCCATAAATGAATTCCATCAATAAATCCACTGGTAATTTTACATTTCAGATTCATCTCTGCATTCCGGCAGGTACCTATGTAATGAGCAGTGAATTCACGTGGAAGTTAGTATTGAAATTCCTACCAGCTCAGTTTTCTTGAATTTGATGTACCGGTAAATGTCTTCAAAGCAATTTTGTCCTTTTAATGATTTTTTCAATAAAAATCTGACCGCATAAGAGAAGTTATCGTAAAAAATTCACTGCTTATTGTATAAGCAGAAATGCAGCTGCAGCAACGACCAATGGTGTGTAATCTTGGGGGGAACGCTAGACCTAGTGAAACTGTAACAGGACCCTCTAGGCAACCATAATATGGTCCCTTAGATAATCTAGACAGTAATCTAAGATGGCATTCAATAACAGATAATTTTCCTAGGTGAAGGTTATCAACTTCTGGGAAAATGTGCCAATTTTAAACAAAAAGATGGAATTGGATGTTCATTGCAACCACAGATAGGTTTCTGATAAATTCTAGATTTGGTGACAAATTTTCAGAGAAATGGTCTGTGAATTTGTAACAAAGGACCTGAACTAGCTTATCATGATAGTACAAAAAATAAAAATATAAAATTCACAGAAATAGTAACAACAGCCCCAGGAGATGTGGATCTTACCTTGGTCAGCAGAGGTATGATCCACTATCTTGTTCTTAAATGGTTCAACAGTTGCTAAACGGTAAGACAAACAACAAATTAATGAGGTCAAGATTAGGCAAAAAACAGAACACTTGACATTCACGATTTTTTCTAAACTTTATGTTGTTATACAGACTAGCTTAAAATTAGGCTTCACAAAAGAAATTAACTCTTTCAGTGCGGCAAAAGAATTAAATAACAACAATAATTTTTCATTTATTATGGTTTGTGCCAGATCAAGTCATATGTCATATCCCATATTTGCCAACTTAAAAGAGTAAGCCGTGGATCAAGATGCTTGCATAAACAAGAAAAGTTCTTTTTTTTTTTTTGCAGTGTTGTCTTTTCCTGTCTTTATGAAATAACACTTACCTTGACCTACAACTCCTGAGATGAAGTTATCATTGTAATGTTCACTTGTTTCTGTTGAAAGACAAACACAAATTTCTTTAGTTGATGCTTAAATGTATTTTAAAAAAATGAGAATGCTGTTAGAGAAATTCAGTGTCCTCATGAGCAATGTCAGTGCACCAATGTATGTTTTTATAAGACACAGGACTGTTTTACTTGAACAAAGTAAACCTGAATAAATTCAAAATATTTTACAAGACAAAAGGTGCTCAGGACAGGTAATGGTTTATTTAATTGAATTATCACCACATCCGTGCACCTTCAGTTTACAGTATTTAATAACCTGGCAGACAGCTACATTCTCTTTGCTTCTCTTTGCATGGCTTTGCATACAAGTACTTGATTTTATTGAATATTTTGCGCTGATTTTTAAAGTTTTCTGGATATCTGTTTCAGTTAAATAAATACTCTGTTCAATGTCCTTGTATAATATAAGTATCATATGGATTCAATTGAAAATATCAGAACAGATGTCAAAATCAGGATGTTTCCAATCCCAATCACATATTAGTCAAGATTCAGGATTTTCAACCAAAATCATGAGAATTCAGACAGGATTCAAGAATCTTTTTACCTTTTCCTGTTTTGGTTCCAATATGATCGGCAACATCATCCCTGAAATGACAGACAAATTATGTTCTACTTGTAATAAAAGTATAAAATGTAGAGTAAGAGATTTTCATCCCCTTAATACAGGAATTGCACAACCTAATTTTATTAGCAGGCCATAAAAACTGATGAAAGCACAAAAATCTCTCGCGTCCACTTACTATTCAAGCTTGAATAGGCCTTTTGCATCAGTTGATCACATGATCAACTTGAGGTAAACACTAAAACAGTTCACTTTTGAAACATGTTGTTAGGGCTGCATGAGCTGAAAGAGCATATTAAAATTAGGTAACCTGTAAATTTTCAGCTGTATATCTCAAAAGTAGCAATTGCAAAAGAGAACTGTTTTCATGTTTACCAAAAATTGATTATGTGATCAACTAATGCAAAAGGTCTATTCTTCAGATGCACAAACTACACATTTTATTAAAGCTCTTCATATACATATATAACATTTAACAATGAGAAAAATTTTCAACTTTTCAACGGCCAGAACCACACATATGTTACAGGTTAAATTTTTTTAAATAATTATAAATTTCCTTTGTCTCGTAGCCCTAAATCATAAATAATCAAAATAGCCAAAGATTACGCTAATAGTAGCCAGGGAAAATCCCTGGACCCCAACCCTCAGTGACAGCCTTGTTTATTCTCAAAACAATATTTTTGATCAAACAGTTATATTTTAGGGAGAAATTAGATGATGGTTAATCACTCTGAGGGTTTAAAACAAAGGTTCAACAAACCAGTTTCCAAACCCATGTTGCTCTATAGCATCTAAAAGTAAAACCTCTTCTTCAGCCGACCATTCTTCATGGAACAGAGGAAATGTACCTCCATCCTTGAGAGCAAAAAACAAAGAACATGTATAAAATTCTCAGTTTTGAAACTTGACATTAACTTCTGAGTTCCAAAAACCCTCCTCGTCAAAATGAGGCTTAGTGCAAAATTAAACCTGTCTTGTGATAATGAGTTTCACTTGTATGACCTTAAATAAAAACTCTTTTATATCAATGGCTTCACATTTAGCCTCGCTTTGAAACAAAGGCTGTGGCAACTCAGAAATACACTGTACATAGCCTATTAAGACAGTCAACTCTCCCCTTGTGGACATCTTGTGACCCAGCATTAGAGTTTTATCACACTTATTTTGTTTATTATGGAACTCAATCGATATCTTTGATATCAAGACACAGTGGATCTATTTTCTTCCATTTTCTGTCATTGCCTTTTCAGATCATTATACGCTATTACTGGGAAACTGCCCATCTACCCCTCCCCTAAGCCAACATTTTACCCTAAGTGAGAAGTAAGTGTTAATGTTGGCTTTAGAGGAGGGGTTTAGAGTTTGAGCTATGGAAATGGAATGTTTTCTCATAAACTCCGGAATGTCATTGAATTCAAACAATATGGCTTGATATGAACTGTTTTATGGGGTATATACATCAATCGGAGTCAACAAGTATTTCTGTACACAAATGACGTCATGTGCCGCGCGATGACATTATCTATCATCCCTTACGTATCAACTCTCAATATTTGAACTAGACGAGGAGGGTTATTGCCCAGTGATCCATGTTTAAAGGAAAAACATCTCTTCAAAAAAAAAGGTTACTTAATAAAATGGCATTTTTCATAAGATGCTAATCCTTTTCCCGTCTTAATCATCAAACTAACCTGGATGGGAAAACGACATGATATCTACGATCACGTGACCTACCATCAATTGATAATCATGGCCTCTTTTGTGTTTACCCATTTCTGCACCACAAGCGAAACACTAAAACAAGATCCCAGCACAACCAGTTACAATAGGCTTAAAATCAATACAAAATAAGCAAAAAGTACTTAATAAAAATAATCTGATCTTACTTGAAGACACAAATCAAAATCAGTGCATTCTGCACATTTCACTCGGAGTGACGTGCAGTCCGCTTGGCAGTAATTACAGTGGTACTCTTCAACGCCTTAAAGAGAAAACAAAAATGAAAATTTTATCAACATAGAACGAAAAACAAGTTTTGGCTCGTCATCAAGCATCGCAATGTGATTTTTTTGCCATTACCTGCGCCCGCCATTTTGATCCTGAACAAAGAGCAGAATGAGTTATCCCAGAAGGCTTTGCGAGTTTTCGATCTCTGTCCGCTGGAAGACCTTCGCAAATCGGTAAGGAATTTCAGATCTTACAGGCAATTTTCTACTTTCTTTTACAAAAGAGGTGAAATCAGACTTGATTTTATCTTACATGTTAGATTTTGCTTATGTGATTTTCAAATATTTTGCCTCGGTTTTCAGTTTTTGACGTAGATTCATTAATGGCAAAGGTCGGGGCGCAACTTGTTTAACCTCCGGCTGTTCCGTACTCTTGACCGCTGTCATGACTTAAATCATCTTGTTCCATAAGAACTGAAACAAGGAACATTTCCAATATCTAGTCATCTTGACCTAACGCTTGGTCAATATCGCATATGCACAGGTCATAGCGGGCGCATTGATTTAGAGATTCGTAAAGAGTGATCATTTCACTTTATACTGCTTTATATCTCAATGTCCGTTCCCGGGAGTGGATGGGAGGGGGCTACTAAACAAAGTTTTATACGGGGAGGCTCGGTCCCGAGCTCCGACCTCTTTAGCCTTTTATATAACATTTTTTGGCGGAAAAGGCACCTCTTTCATGTACCTTCCATTGAGAAAATGGGCCATCATAAGCAGTAGCCTCCCTCCCTCCCCTCCCCCCCACCCCCCGTTCTTTGTAGCCTATAATATGAGTGTCGCCACTGTTGTGTAACCTTCACGATATAGTTTGTCTGGTTATGCATCTGTGGTATAGGCACTGCGTTATGTGCCTTAACAAATTATCCTTTGTAATACTTTGTGAATGAGGGCATGTTATAAAAAGCCAGTGGTTATATGCCAGAGAAAACAGCATAGTGCCAAAAACACTTTAGTGCCCATTCCACATTGAGGAGCGTAGCTACCTGTACACACGGTACGCATGTGCGTACCTGAAAGAGTCGTGCACAAAAATAAATTAAAAATAAGAAAAAAGTAGTAATGATTAAATAATAAAAAATAAAAAGTTAATTCTAAAAAGCAAGCAAAGTATCTAAAGATAAATTATTGTAAGAGCACAGTTTGCCTCAATTCATTCAACTCTGGTTGTTTCTTTTGAATATTTTTTTTTAACTCAAAAGACAGGCTTTTTTATCCTCTCCACCCAAATGTCAGTTTCCAGAGAAACAAAGACAGTTAGTAATTCATTAATGGACCAAATCTTGAATAACATATGATGGCAGGTGTTTTTACTAAAAACGTGTCCGGAATCCTAACTGTTTACGCACATGGATTAATTTTGGGAGCAATGACAAAGGCAATGGTGAAGGCGATGGCAATGCGCCCAATAAGTAAATGAAAAACCACAAATTGGGTGTGATTCCCAAGACTCTGGGGGAAAGTTCACCTATATTTGCCATTTTAACAGATTTGACGGAAATAAACGGGAAAAGGTAAAAAAAAAAACATGCATTTATTTTCGTAGCTAGGGACGTTTTCGTTGAATTG